CTCTTTCATGTAGCTACCGTTCGCCTCAAATGGCTGTCGAGTGACCCGTGGCAAATGTGTCGCTCAGTTTCTAATGTCTGCTTTAATTGTGCTTCTTTTTTCGTGCAGGATCTCACTACAAAACTCTCATACTAAAGTACCAAAAGGTAGTATTTTTGACCTTTGATGCTGCCATATTTTGACCAGTTTCGTAAAAAAAAGATCTGGTTTCAAGCTTATTTAAAAGTGCATTTAATATTTAATTGCACCTGAAAATGTATAAGTCTGGGGGATTTAAATTAGTCTGAGTGGAACGTAGAAAGGAATCAAAGTGCAAAATAGTTTTTTGATTGGCATTAAACTTGCTCTCGCTCACTTGTTACTCGATATCTTATCGGCATTGAAACGTAACAGGTTGATGAAAGTTATTCTGCTAAGAAAATGAGGGTAAACCGAAGAAATATTACAGAAGAATGACAACTAGCTTGTCTGTAGTTTAATTGATAGAGCTAAGATAGTTTTTTGGAGAGTCGGACGCTGCGTGTTTGATCCTAACTAAAATTTCAGTTTAGCGTTTCGTGTTTAAAACTACGGTACAGAGAAAGTTAAGGACGATTTTTGAATAGTACACTTAAGAAGGGCAGCCAAATGTAATTCTGTTAGCACCATTAATGTGAAAAGAAATTGATTTTTTTTCTTGCTTGTGTCAGTTACAGAACTAAACCACGTGGAATAGCAAAATTTGGCGCAGTATTCAAGTAGCATTGAACAGGCACCTTACTTTATTGATAATTTGATTTGCTGAAGTTTACAACTACCGGTATTTTGAATTTCGGTACGAAGTCAGTAGAATTTTCCAAATTGCTCAGTCATGAAGATGTAGTTGTAAATGTACATAAAAAACGTCAAACTTAGAACGATTTCCAAATTGTTAATTTTATTGAGCGAAGCTTTATCATCGACACTTTCTCACTATTACTCTATAGACGGTTGTGCTCTTCTATAGTAGCTTCAGTGAATAAACACAAAAAATTGTGCTGTTGCAAAGTTTTTTCAAATAATTTTTTTCTATTTATATTTCGCTCGCAGTTAACAGTTTTAGTTTTTGAACATATTTTTAATCATTTTAGAGACGGTATTTCGCTAGCCTACAGTCAGTGTTGATGTTATTGTTGACATTTCAACAAGTAGTCGCACCTCTGTCGGTACGCCTTGCAAAGCGCCAAAGTTCCCGTAAGTTACAACAAATTACTCTAAATTTCATTTATTTATTTTTTATTGTAATTAGAAAGAATTTGCTAAGAAGAATGCACGCATTCATTTTTCAAAAAAAGCTTGTTTTCTTAAGCTGTTTCGCATTTTCATTCGTATACCAGCGAATAAATTATTTGGCTAGATATTTGGATTGATTTTTAGGTTTTTTACCGACAGTATCAGTATTCATCACAGAAATTTTAAAATTGCTACTTTGTTCGATTCTAATCACAGCACAACATCAATCTTTTAAAAAGCACGTTTTTTTTTCTAATAATTGATCAATTACTTTTGTTTGTTGTTTCATTTTCATGATCTTTGATAACACCGATGTTAATATACGTAATACTTTGTACAACAGTTTCAAAATCTCAAAAACAAAACTTCTTTAGATTTATTGAAGACATTAAGCAACATGTTGTTAAGAATTTTCAAGAGACTATTCGCTCATGTGTTCCGGCGATTGTTTATGCAGTTCAGAATAACCTTTATTTTATTGCACTGCGAAATATCAACGCTGCCGAATATACGGTATTTGTATTGTCGTTGTTTCTGATTAACACAAGTAGTATGCTTGTATCTATAATATATCATAAACATAGATATCAATAACGGAGGTTGTTGACTGATCAAAAAAATAATCTATTGATGACTTCAAAATAGCTGAAAAAAAAAAGCGTTTTTTTATCAAAAATACTTATAAACACGGCTATATTATCGAATATATTTCTGTAATGAATTTTATTTTTTGACCTCTCCTCTGTAAATGTAACGATGTAGAACTGTTTGTAATTACACTTATTCTGTATATAAAATTAACAATCAGTTTACAACAAAAGTTTTGTTAGGAAGAAAACGGCAATTAAAAAAATGTTTTTTTTAGGCAGCATATCAACTTAGGATTTTAGCTACGGCACTTTTATCAGTGATTATGCTCAAAAAAGTTGTCAACAATATTCAGTGGCTTTCACTGATTACACTTGTAAGTCTAAAAACACTATGTATTTTTCTTTTTCTTTTGTTTTTTCAACTTACTGTTAGCTAATTTATAATTATCGTGTAAAAATAAACGCTTAAATAATTCCTCAGTAACTGTTGATTGCTGCTTTGAAGACTGCCGATTGCCCTGTCAAACTGTCATTCAGTTATAGTATTATAAATGTGACAAGTATAGTTTACTGAAAAAAAAAGTTAAGAATTAGACTTCTTTATTCGTTTTTGGTTTAAAACCACTTTTAGTTAACTGGTGTTATTTTGGTGCAGTTACCACAGAACGGACCAGTTCGGCAGACGGTAGGTCCACCAGATGGTATCTTTGTTATCGGAATTCTTGCTGTTCTTGGAATGTGCTTTACCTCAGCTTTTGCAGGTTACTTTTTTCCTCTTGCTTTTTTTTAAAAGCACATATAACTTTTACAAGAAGAAACTTGTCTTACAGTTTATTAAATACAATTTAAGTTTGAATAACAAGTTGATTATTATTATTATTATTATTATTATTATTATCGTTATTATCATTATTATTATCATTAGAAAATTTCTTCTGCTTTTGCTTATTTTTTAAAAATTTAATTATGGAAATTATGTTTTAGCAGAGTTGTCAAAAAACTTTTGCATACATTTATTTTACAGGAATATTTTTGAATGGTTTAATATTGAGGAAAAAAAAAAGATCTCGAAGAATTTAGGTGTATATTTTGAAATGGTATTAAAAAAAAGTGTAGTGGATCTGTGGATAGAAAATATTCGTTTGGGTTTACTGACGTTATTCTTCTCAGCTATCACGATGCTTGTAACAGATTTTAATAAACTTCAACAAGGTACCTGTAACATTATTTTTTTCTCGTTCTAAACGGCTTGAAAATTCAACAGTTTTGATGTTTTTTCTGAGCAAAAAAAAAAAAAATAAAAAGCTAAAGACTTGTCGCACTGCTGACTGAAATTACCTAAGGTATTTGTTATAACAATGTAGAAAATAATAGCTATAGACTACAGCAATAAAATAAAGAGAATACTTGTTAGCATAAATTTTGTTCTTCAAACTGTAAATTTAAAACTTAAATAAAATAGTTTTTCTTGTTGTATAGTGAACTGAATATCGTATTATACGTATGCTGGTAAACAGAATACTATCACTTATATTTTTCAAAAATGAAGGTGAAACATTGGCAGAAAGTAATGGTCATGCAAGTTTGCTATAAGTCGTATTAATTCATTCGTTACTGCATTTAGAAATAAAATAGGCTGATGTTCAACAACTGTGCACCAAATTACTTGTCAGGTTACTTAAAAACTGTTTCCTCTTCCAGAAAGTTTATTCTACGGATGGGATGGTTTTGCTTGGTTGATAGTTATCATAAACGCCGTTGGTGGTTTAATTGTTTCAGCGGTGATGAAGTACGCTGACAACATCAAAAAAACACTTTGTCAGTCTGTGGCTATTGCATGCGTCTCGTTATTTGCAATATTAACGCATGATGCAGAAGCGGATACAGCACTTTTTATTGGTATACTTCTGGTGGTGGTTTCCACCTATATCTATTCTGCAGAAGCAACAAAAAATGATGCTATGACACCGTCGAAATAGCGCTTGAAAAAAAAAAAACGCAAACGCAAACCCACAAAAATGGTTGTTGGTGTTGACCCTCTGTTTGCAGTAGTTAAACAATGAATAGCGTTTCCCACTGTTCAGAATTTGCACACAGGTTTTAAGTGACAGTTGTTTCTAGTACTCTGGTGCAAAATGTTGCAATATAAAAATTTTATGGTCAGCTAATAATGATTAAAAACTATTAAAATTATATGTGACATTTGCTTTTTTAAAGGTATTTGTTATAAAATTTTTTTGGTTTTTGGGTCATTAGATGACATGATGTTGGTGTTATAACTGATTACTAATATTACTGATTACAAAGTATCACCGAATAATTTGTAACGTTTATTGTGTCTCTGCAAAATGTCCTAAATCTTCTTATTTTATTTAGTTAATGTGATAGTTTCAACTTGTACGGGTAACATTCCAACATTAAAATTAAAATTGTTTTTATCAGTACCTTGATACCGCTTCACTGTTTTGATCAAAAATTTTACTTTTAACTTTGATAAGAAAAACGAACTTAGAAGTGAAGAACAGAAACGGGTCGTAAAAACTGGTTACTGTACTGCTTATTAAAGATTTCTTTTTGTGTATTGAATTTTGCAGTTTAAAATCAACAAATGATTATACATGCTGCCTAACTAAAAATATTTGATTACATTTCATTTTATTCTTTCTCTGCTCTTTTTATGATTTATGATTTTGAAGTCCGGATATGATAAACAGTACCGCCTTGTTGCAATTGCTGCAACTGCAGCCGCTGCTGCCACTGTATTGAAGGTTTACTGTCACAGAATCTCGAAGGTAATCAGTCAGTGGTGGTGGTGCAAACTGTTTACAGGAACGGTTTTCATGTTTTTTTTTTTTTTTTTAAAGCGACTGGAAAAAGAAATCTGAGAAGGTGAAAGTGAAAACATTTATGGTATAAATTCTTAAATGCTAACAGATCATTCAGTACTATCAACAAGCTTTTTTTGGTTTTTGTAATTTTGACGATGAATGAAATCTTTTTAAAATATTTTTATAAAACCGTAACAGTTGTACTACAAGTACACTACGTATATATTGCTGCGCACTTGTCAGTTACTTTACAGTAAGCTATTTTCACTGCAAATCATTGCTCAAAGTGCAGTTTAGGAGAAAAAGACGAGAAAAAGAACTTTTCAAAAGCTAGCTAGTGTTCATTGAAAAGAAGAGTTTTTAAAGTATGGAAGATTTAAGTATAAAAACAGAACCAGAGAACAACAACAAAAAGAACAATAACACTAAAAAAGTTCGGTCGCCACAAAAGAAGTTTTGTAGATGTCAACCGATAATGGCCTCCATCAGATAATTGCACAATTGTTAGAAAAAAAAAAGTTGCAGACAGTCTACAAATTAAACCAATAAATAACTACTTATTATTACCTTATAAATTTTTTTCTTAACTTCCGCATTACTTTATCCGTTCTTTTTTCCGCCTCACTGTTTTGCTCTGTTTCTTTCTTTTTCTTGTCAATAAACAGCGAACGAAAAGTTTTTTTGACTCTAACCTTAAACTGTAAGATAAAACTAGAGGAGATTTGTAAATTGACAATCACTTCCAGATTCCTTAGATATTTTTAATTTTAAGTGATCACCGTCGCACTTGAATAAATCAATGACCACTGACTTCGAAAATGTATTCCGCAGCAACAAATTTCTCAACTCTTCCGTACAGGAACTTCGGGAATCTATAGAAAATGCTCTTTGCCTTTCTAGAGCAAATAGGTTAACAAAATAGAAAATAAGGTTCAGGAAAAAACCACTGCAAAAATTTCGAAAGCAAATCAAAGTACGGAAGTTCACCAACGAAAACTTCTATCGCCTTTTTCATCCTAGCAGAGAACTTGTAGAGGCTTTTTCATAACAAAAGGAATAAACCAATGCGCACTAATATTTCAATGAGTCTCAATAATCCATTTTTCTTCATTAAAAACAAGAAAAAAAAATAAAAAACGAAAATTAAAATTAAAATAAATAAAAAAAAATTTTTTTTTTAAATTGTCACGAAAAAACACTAAATGTTAAATAGTATAAAGACATCAGAAATCGTGTTTTTTTTTTTTCGACAGTCTTCCGGTAGAAGGAATTTTTTTGCTCAATATAATTAATCGTATCTTTAAGAACAGGCCGTTCAAAAAGATGCAGTTGAAGAAAAACTGTACTAAGGATTTTGTTTTCTCAACAAAAATAGAGATCAATATGAAAATATTTTTGCTGAAATGCAACAGAAAAATCAATTAAAAACTTTCCAGATAAGCAGTTTTTCTGCTAGATGACTGGTAACCAAAACTAGAATCTTATCATCAAATTTACCTCCACTTTTATCGTCGAGACTTTCGCACCAGCAATTCAAAACATAGATGCCACCATTAATTTCAAATTTCTTTTTTTTTTCTCTGGCACTACTAATTTTATGTCTTCAATATTATTTGCAAAAAAGTTTAATGATTTTGGACAAATACTCTTTCCTTACCTTTGTTATTTCTGTAACTAATGCATTTATTCGTTACTGACAAAATTTGCTGAATTGAATAATTGGTAATACACTATACCTTCTTACATAATCACGAAAAAGTTGAAAAAGTTTTAAATAATTATTGGGGGAGTTCACTGTTTTCCGCATTGGTCAAATTGAATGCTGTGTAACGGCAAGGGTAAAACTGTTTCTTGTCAACAGCTCAAAATTTCGTAGCAACAATAACAAATATTACTTTCACCTTTTAGGAAACCAACCCTTTTCATGGTTATCATCACACCAGTACTGATGGTGGTCAAATGTATTTAGATGCAAGAGCAGCCACCAAACTTTTTTTTTTTATTTCATTAATATTGGGTAATACAACCTAATTATGTAATGATTAAATACCGTTTGTAAAGATTCCTTGGCAGAAAAACTTCAATATTTTCTTTTGCTTCTAAAATATCTCAAATAAATCAGTATGACTAATTAGCAAAAAAAGTAAAGTGAACATAAAATTGTACATTGCAAAGTAGAAAAAAATAAAACATGAAAAGCGTTGTTTCTGGTACTGTCGTTGGTTCTGCAACGTACTATCCATTTATTAACGTGCCGTTTAATAAAAGGAGGACAAAACAAAAAATGTTTTGATGAAGAAAAACAAAAATAAAATGATATATTAGGAAAAAAGATGATGGTCAATACATCACAACATTGTATATGGTCAGCTACACCGGCAAAGTTTTTTGCCTCTTCTGGTGATAGGACGAACGGTTTTCGATGGGTATGTAGCATGAAAAGACGCAACAGAGGTGTACAGGACCGGTGAAGGCGTCGTCTCGACTATAATTATGTGTTATGGTATTTGTTTGTCCAGTTGAACAGAACGCGTTTTTTTATCCTCCTCATCCTACTCCTACTTTCTTCCCTCTTAACACAGATCTTATGCCTTTTTTTTCTTCTTGCCTCCTCTGTTCTCTTGGCATCTCTCTGGTTTTCTATTCATTTTTTCTTAACTTCTTACTCCTCACTATTTTGTCACCTCTCTCTCTCTCTGTCACTGTTACCGCCAATTTTTTTGGTTGGTCATTTCTTCTTGCTGATGCCTCTGTTGTCGTAATTTTTTTGTGCTGTGGCTCGCTGACCTCTGGACACTGCTTGCTGCTACAAATTTCACTAGTGGCGTTCTGAGTGTGTGATTTGGGTTCAAAAAAAAAGGACAGAAAATATACGTAGAGGGGAAGGCGAAAGTCATAGTGTCACGACTATACTGCTGTCATCGTCTGAACTTTGACCCTGAAACAAAAAAGAAAAAGAAGACTGAGGGATGCTATCCTCTGTACCGGCCTTGAGTATCCCAAGCTCTAATGGCACATCTGCTGCAGTTGCAGCTGGTAATACTGGGCCGTTGTCGACTAGCTCCGGAACATCGTCGGAAGGCGAAACATTGGCTGGGAGTTCAAGAGCGACAGACGAAGGTAGTTATTCTCTAATCTTGTTGTTTGCTTGATTCAGTATTTATCTTTATCTTTTTGTTCCTTTAGAAGTTACATAATCAAGTATTGAACATTTGTAATGTTGGATTGCCTGTTGTTTGTGTGTGTAGGTAGTTTCCGTATCATTAACTTTTTGTTTCAGATTCTATCTATGACACTTAATAGGTTTTGCGCTGGTATGACTTGCAGAAATTTGACTCTTCTTACCAAGTTTTCTAGCATTTTTATACCCGTTGAAAATTTAGCTGTTTTCTTGCCACAATTTATCTAAAAAAGTGAAATACTGGGTTGATTATGCTGTGTTTCTACTCTAAGCCTGAGGACTTGATACATATATATATTTTCTTTTCTTAGAGTTATTAAAATAGTTTTTTATTTTATAGTTTTAAAACAAGAAATTTTCAATTAACATTTTTAAAGTGATCTTTTTGCCCTTTTTTTGTAGGCAAGGTAATTTTGTGCAAAGTTTGTGGCGACAAGTCATCGGGTGTTCATTATGGAGTGATTACCTGTGAAGGCTGCAAGGTTTGTTTGACAACATTACACGTGTATTATTTTGCAGATAAACAGTAGAATATTTCGTTGAGGAAGAAAGTGGAACTGTATAGTCATTTTTTATAGCTGAACATTTACTGATTGGTAAACTTACCGTCATGTCTCTGTTTTAATATTTTTGGCCGGGAACATAGAAATCCCTACATGTGTTGAAAATAACGTTGGTATTTGGTATAAAAGCAATTTTTTATATAATAATGAGGATTTTCAAAGGAGGTCTTTTCCTCTTTTGCTTTTTTTTTTTTGTTTTTTGTTGATTGTTTGCCACATACCGTCTATATTGCGCAATGTAAGTTGATGGAAAATATGCAATCCACTGGAAGAATGGAAAACGAAAAAAAGGGGAATTAAATTTTCATATGAAAACAAATGCAGATACCGTAATCACTTGATATTTTTCCCTCTTTTTAGGGCTTCTTTAGACGTAGTCAATCTTCTGGTACCAGCTACCAGTGTAACAGAGGAGAAACGTGTGTTGTTGATCGCATTAACCGAAATAAATGTCAGTTTTGTCGGCTTAAGAAGTGCTTGGAACTTGGAATGAGCAGAGACTCTGTAAAATTTGGTAGACTACAGCGGAAGCAACAAGTAACTATACATTTTGTTCAGGGCATTGTTCTTAGTTTGCTGTGTAAAAAAAGACATTTCCCCGTTCGCTTTATAAATGTTACTTTTTTTTCCGTCTACTTTATTAGAGATAATAAAGGTACCAAACATTTTGAACTTTCTAAACGTTTTGAAGCAAATGCGGAGCCATTCGAACTCTGCGGATATCCCAGGTCAAATGACTACAGTAGCTCCAATGGCTTATGAAGGCTATACGCCAACTGGCTCCTATTCCGCCAATTGTCAAGAGAATGTGTTCGAGGAAGTGTCTCCTCCGGAAGCTGCTGTAGCACCGATCACTTATGTTGTTAGACAAGACCCAGTTTACAACCATCAACTTGATGTAAGCTCTTCACGTCATCTGCTGCTCCGACGTGTCACTTTTCTTTCATTTTATGCAGCAATTTCCCTAAAATATCACTTTAACATATATTTTTTTTTTTTT